CTTCTGCTTGTGCTGCCGTGCGGTAGCGACCTGCACGGCCAGCAATTTGCTTAATATGGGCAGCTTCGATAACCGCGATATGGAATCCGTTGAACTTGGACACAGACTCGAATATTACGCGCTTGATAGCCCTGCACACCGTGTCAGTTTTGGAAGACGGAAATGAATAGCAGATCTTACAAATTCAACCCCATGCCAATAGCGTCACTAGCCACCAGAATATCATATTCATTGTCGGGATCGTTGAAAAGTTTGGCCTGTTGTGCTCTTATTTCTGGAGGCAAGCTCCCGTAGACAACAGCTACTCGCTTTTGGGTCACGTTTTCAATCTCTTTCTTCATCGCATGTATTCCAACGCGCGAGAATACTACCACACAGTCTCCTTTCCTGAGGTCACTCAGCCGGCGCCGTAGGCTTGTCGACATTGTTTTAAGTGGGCTTAGTCGTTCGTACGTGTGAATCTCGATTTCGTCTCCCATCGATGCTGCAAGCTCCTTGATCAGAGGCACACTTCGCTCCTCACCACACAGATGGATCTCTTTCGCTTTGAGACCAAGAAGTGCTTGCGTCCAGGCCCATCCTCGCTCCTTGTGACCTATCATCTGAATCTCATCAACGACTGCTACATCGACATCTGTATTCAGAGGCACCATCTCGACAGTACAGCTTTTCATTTGTGCTCCATCACCCCCTTGCACGACTTTTTCATCGCCAGTGATGAGATCACAGAGTTTTCCTTTCGCGTTCAGCCTGGTATAGACTTCATGGGCCAGGAGCCGCAAAGGTCCTGCGTATATCCCGGTGTCCGCTTGCTCGAGTCGTTTCAAAGCATGGTAGGTTTTGCCGGAGTTTGTGGGTCCGACGTGCAGAACTATCTTCCTTTGGACTACCCGCGTTGCTGGATACCATTCCACTGGATAACGTAGATCGGCAAGCTTTTCCTGATTCTCGATATCAACCTTCGAGAACTTCTGACTTGCTAGGAGCCCATGATAGGAGTATTTGAGCTGAGTGTCCACTCCTGACTCTCCATTGGACATGAAAGCTTGTCGCAGAGATCTAAGAAGCGACACAGGTCTTGGCTGTTCTGAAGGTTGCCATTCCGACTGTGAAGGAAGTTGAACATCTTGGGTTTTCAGGGCGGTCCAAATGGACCTCTGCGGTAAGATATCTATAAGATTCCTGGCGAAAGTTACAAATCCTGCATCAGTAGATTTCTCGACTAGAATCTGGAGTCGAGTAATAAGCCATGGTATAAAAGTCTCTGTCTTGAGGAGTTTAGATCTCGTGGCAGCATCCGCAAATTTGATGTCCGGCTGCCGAGTCAAGATCCTAAGGCGACCCTTTATGAGTGGCTCCCTGATTGTCCGTTTCTCGTTCGTAGCTTTCACAGACCTGCACCGTGTGCTAATGGTGGGGCGTCTCGCCGTCCAGGCACGGGGGAGCAGACGTGAAGTCAAGGCTCGATCAGCTGGTAGCATTCCCCACTAGGGGTCACTATGATCGAGCTTTGGTTGATACTACGTTTGTAGTGTATTTCATGAAGCTATCGCGAAATTGGAGGCATCGTTGGTGTATACATTCAGCCTCTTCGCCCAGGACAGAATTCAGATTTGCATACCGGTATCGACCCCAACTAGCGGCGCCAAACGCGGATATTATACACCCCCATCGATTGCCCGCTCGCCTTGCGGCCCAGGTATGCTTCAATTCGGATGCTGGAATCTAGCCATTTGAGTCCGGTACCACATTGGAAGCTTCCAGGGATGTTTCCAAACACTGGACTAGAAGTTTAAAGATCGCCGCCGTGGGTTGAGTACTCAAGGCATCGTTGCCTCCAACTCCGCAGCAGAATCCAGTCGTACCGAAACCATGGGAACCTCTGCAATCGCGGTACAGCAAGAAAGTAAGACTAGACTTACACTCTTCAACGTTTCGTTTCTAATGTCATAGTCATTCTCGATGCCGTGAGGTCTACAGCTCGAGGAGAAGTAAGCCGTCCCCGTCTGCGAACCAAGCACCATCAGGCTCAAACCTTCGTCTTTGCAGTGGAAAGTTGTAGTCTTGGACGCTGGAAGCAAGCGGCTTGTCGATGGCGTCGTCAAGGAAGACGACATTCTAAAGGAAAACGTCACGAGTACGTTACGAAGGAAGGATGCCAGAAGGTAAAGCGGGACTGAACAAGATATAGATATAGAACAAATCGAGGATAGAAGACCTATGAATCAGGCAATGGATGCGGTGTACATTCTCTCGCCCCAACCTCATATTGTGGATTGCTTGATGGCAGACCTCGAGCGTCGCCGATACCGCAGGTCATATATAGTCTGGACATCATGTAAGGATTCAGAGGTCGAGGATACGCTCGCAAGCTTCGTGCAAGCCGGTCAGTCCTGACAATGACTTTGTGCAGTGCTTCCTCCTGAACAGCGTCTCCGCCTGGATCAGTCCGCATTGGCAAGGGAACAGATAGTCCTGCTAAGAGTCTTGAACGTCGACTTCTATCCTCGGGAGTCACATCTTATAACGTTCCGAGATCCGTGGAGCTTTCCAACCCTTTTTCATCCTGCCTGCAACCAGCTTGTCCGAAAGCACATGGATGAGTTGGCGCAAAAGGTACGTTCTTCAATGCAGTACTAGTCTTTCAAAGGACTCCCGCGAAGCGCTGACGTTATTTCAAGATAGTGTCAATATGCGTGTCGCTTGGAGAGTACCCAACCATACGGTATTACAGTCCACGAAATCCTGCGCACGAAGCTAGTGTTCTCTGTTCGCATCTTGCTCGCTTCGTTCAGCTTGAGTTAGATCAATACGCGAAATTTCACGAAGACTTTCCACCCCCTTCACCTCGACCTCGAGGTGCTCTTATTATCACTGACAGGTCTATGGATTTATTTGCTCCAGTAGTCCATGAGTTTACCTACCAGGCTATGGTACATGATCTTCTACCTTTAGTGGAGGGAGACAAGGTCTACTATAAAACGGCTCTAACCCAAACTGAAACGAGCGGGAACATCAAAGATGTAGAGATTGGTGAAACAGACAGCATATGGGTCAAGAACCGTCATCTACACATGAAAGATCTTTTGGAGAAGCTAGCCTCTGAGTTCCAGGCCTTCAAGGCAAAGAACCCACAGTTTGCAGAAAGGTTCGTTAATCCCGTTGGACAAAGAAGCGTGCAAAGCAAGCCCCTGACTCAAGCCCCTATCTCAGTGACAACCCCAGCAGCCTAAACAATATCAAAGACATGCTAGCAGGACTGCCGCAGTTCCAAGAAGGCAAGGAAGCCTTTTCACTACATCTGAACATGGCGTCAGATGCTATGAACGTTTTTCAAAAGCGCCGGTTAGCAGATATCGCTTCAGTAGAACAGGTAACTCCGCAATATGCTGAGCCACCCTTGAACCAAACTGACCCAAGCAGTCACTTGCGACTGGATTAGACGAAGATTATAAGAAGCCGAAGAACCTTGCCGACCAGGTTGTCAGGCTACTCGACGATAACGATATTACTTTCCCAGACCGTCTACGGCTGATCATACAATACCTACTTTACCGAGAGGGTCTTTTGCCCTCTGACACGCAGAAACTGCTTGCGCACGCTCAGTTGCCTGCCCAAGATGGCGAAGTAATCCATAATCTTGATCTACTTGGTGCACATGTTTCAAGATCGATGAAGGACACACGGCCGGTAGCTCAATCTCCTTTTGGTAGGAAACAGACGCCGCAAAGTCCGAGCGAGGAGGAATCTGGACTCTCAAGATATGACCCCGCTATCAAGCCGATGCTCGAGGAACACATACGGGGAACGCTTGACCAAAATACCTTTCCCTTCACAAAGCCTCATCTCGACGCAGCCGAAGGACTACTGGGCCAAGAGAACGTTTCTCAAGCATCACTGCGAAGTGCAAAACCAACTTGGGCACGAACTCGACCATCTGCATTAGAGCCCAGGCAGCGCATCATTGTCTTTATGGCAGGCGGTGCAACCTACTCTGAGTCGCGGGCATGCTATGAAGTGTCCCAATTATCCAACAAAGATGTATTTCTGGCCACTTCTCATATGTTGACCCCGAGTCTCTATCTCAGACAAGTCGGAGACTTGAGCGTTGATAAACGGCGGCTCGATCTTCCAGCAGAACGACCAAAGCCCCAGGCACCTGCTCATCTGTTTGAGAGAGAGCCACCGACTGCACCACAGGCTTATGCAAAGCAGCAACCCACAAATTCTCAACAACCTCAACCCCCAGTGGCTAGTATGGGTGCGATGAGTCTTGGTTCCAATCCCGCGAACGCAAACGTCTCTTCGAACGGCGCGCTCAAGGGTCATCGTTTGTCTCCGGCACCTTCAAATGCAGTCCAATCTGCCAACAGTAGATTGACTAAGAAGGAGAAAGACAAGGACTCGGAGAAGAAAAAGAAGCACCACTTCTTTGGCTCGAAGAAGTAAATGGTTCTACTGCATCGCATAAGTCTTGTGCATTTTAGCGACGTGGGGAGCACTGACTTTGAACGGCGTCTTGGGATCCAGTATATCCATTTCAGGAGTTATTTCCCATAAGATACCATTGGGGCGCGAGCTAGCTTGATAGCCCGCCAGGAATGTGAATGGAGACATGCTTTTGCAACGGAGATTGATTTGATCTGATGATGTGCTACTACTCACGTCCTCGTGTTTGCATCATCCATGAAGAACTCTTTACATTATTGCCAAAGTGATTCGACATGCCTGCGCTATCACTCGTCTCTACAAGTGAATCTGTGCCATTCAAGAATCTCCTCTTTCGCAACTTCATCCATCTTTGAGTTCATCCATTGAGAAGTTATCTGTTCCAACACTCCCTCTCAGTCTCGTGGGATAGTCGAATCTCTCGCCCTACCAAATCCTCTCTTCCTTATACATCTTTTGTTTCTATGTGATAACCCCCCTTTTGTATTTGTACACACATACGAAACGATCATCATCGCTGTCCGATGCTGCTCCGCCTCAGACAACAAGCAATGTCTTATGAGCTGACGAAGCCTGACAAGAGAACTACACCTCAGCTAGGATCTCCCTTGTCCTTTCGACGACCCTAAACCTCTTCACCTTCCGGACTTTCTCCTCACTACACATCTATCAATCCTCTTTTGGCATCGACCCTTATATGAAAACATACATTGATACACCACAGACCTCAACGCGATAGTCGAGTCTTTCAAGACTCGTAATGTGAAGACGTGATCCCACCACGAGAATGATTTGTGGCATCAGACGAGCCCAGTTCGACGACCTGTTCCCAAACCAGAACTTTCAGGACCCAGTCTTGCTGAATCTGTGGCGGGGCCACGAGACGATTCGAGTACTTCCTATCAGACCTTGATCTGGGGCAACCGCCCCAAGATCCAAATCATTGCTGGCCAGCATCGGAAGCTGGCTCTGAAGATTCACGAGCCAACCAACTTTACATGGCTGGCCAACGTCTACGACCTGGACGCCATGCCGCCGACCACATTGATTGAACTTGGAGGTAACGCCACCACGGTCGCACACGCGGCGAGCATGGGCGAGGTGTTTCGAGACATCGCAGCCATTGCGCCACACATCGCCTCATCAGAAACTGTCATCGTTCGACCCTATCTCACTCCACAATGCGCACCGACTCTGGAGGAGTATCTCGGCGCATGTAGGTCAGTTACCTTTTCTGAGTCATTTCTGAATTCTGCCTGATTCGTGCAGTCCTGAAAGAGACATGCTAATTCCGAAACCATACAGACATGGAGACAAGGCTAAGCTACAGAAGACCTTCATGAACGCACTTACCGTGTGCTCACAGCAAAAGTCGATTGATAAGCTCATCATTGTTCTGGCAAGTCCGCTGAGGGGAGAGCTCTCAAGATTTGTAAACTCAGGAGCAGGAATAAAGTTGTTCTCACAGGATGGAATGCGCGATATGTATGAGACCCAATGTTTAACTTCTGGAACAGCTGGCTGAGAAGACAAAACCGATTCATCAAGAGGATCATGGGTCAGGTGCGCATTAGGCATTTCGACATAAACCATATGAACAAGCTCGCGGCCCTAGGTTCAGGAAACCAGGGAAATATCGCGAATCTGTTCTGAACGCTCACGGGAGCCGAGACAAGCGAGTCGGCATTTCCAGGATGGCTTCGGTCAATGGACATGCTCACCATGATCTCGGATCGCGACTACCACAAGATCTACGACAAAGTCGTACAGGATCAGAATCCGAGGTCTCCGTTGTTGAGTAGACTTGCGCACCATCCTCTAGACTAATTACTTCGGTCCACGTAGTTGTTGAGACGACACAGCTGTCTCGGACAACTTGATCAATTTGGTGGCCCAGACTGTATTCGACCATGTCGAATGCTTTTTCCCCAAAACAACAAAGACCTTGACAACTATCCCACCGTAACGATCAAAGGCAAGGGCGACAAAGAAGACACCATTTCGGAGGAGGACTGTATGAAGCGATTCAAATTCCACTTTTACTGGTTCCATGCCAAAAGTGTGGCACGCTACGTCAATCACAACCTTGTCCAAGACTTCATGCACCCATTCAACAGCCCAAATTACCACTGCTTCCGAGCCGAAAGCACTTCAATCGCCGGCGATCTCATGGACGGTAGAACATCCTTTGGGCACCATTCAGAGATAGCGCTCAATCCTCTGCTGTCCGGGAAAGAAGGCAGTATCCTACATCAACAGATCACCGCCGATTTGAGAAAGTCCGTGGTCCTGCGCATTGAGGCTCACCTCCACCAGAAGGTCAAACAAGAAGGAGTACACCTAGAGCTCCGCGAAGCTGTCCAGGAGCGTATCATTCATGATCAGATCAAATTCGCCCAGTCATCATGGCGCAGATTCTTGAAGCATGCATGGCACTTGAGTTTTTACTTCGCCATTGATGCGCACGATCCAAGGCTCGATACCAACTCCTTACCACCGTCATCACTACTGTTGTTCCCTCTCTCGGCATTCTTGTAAGTAGCAACTCGGCTAACAAGACTATGGGCCATGGAAGCAATTCCTGGGTAATCGTCACCTGGTGTGTCTTCGGTTAGGCCGAACACATCTGCGTAGACAATCATCAACTCTCCATAGTCACGAACACTGAACCTCCTCAGCATGAACTTCTGGTAATGAGGAGAAAGATCCTCGAAGGTCACACTGTTCCCCATTCGCTCACACAACAGCATGTCGATGGCGAGATCTCCGATCCTCACCTTCTCTAGCCTCACTCGGTCTTGGTAGAAATTGGGAAAGTTCTCCACACAATTCAGCTTGGCGGCAGCAGTACAGTAGCGGTCTTGAAGGATTGCCGTCGAAGGGCGCCAATCTCTGCAAAAGGTTTCTGGATGTTTGGCGAACACAACGATTCGCCCAAGTCCACCTGAACACTGGACCAATTTCCTGTCGATCCGAAAAACCCCTGCGAACAGAAGACACAATTGAACGTCCGAATACTCGGGGCCCCACAACAGTAAAGAAATGTCTCGACCCTTAGTCCGGGCTAATACTCGCACTTTGCCAGCAGTCCCGTATATGATTTCGACGTTGCACTTGATATTCTGAGCCAGCTCCTCTAACCATGCGAGATATTCCTTCTCGGTTTGGGTAGAATATTGTTCAAGGCCATATTTGTCCTCGCGCTGACAAAACTCATCGAACATGAGCGAGTTATCGGAATTAAATCCTGGACCGTTGATCTATCTCATCGACGGGTTTGTCAGGTCCTCTACCGTGCAGCCTTCCTTGTAGAGGTCAATGGATTCCCTCGACGGGCAATGAGTTCTTTGGGCGATATCAACGGAGGGAAGTCCAGCTGGGCGTAAAAGCCCATGAGAGGCCTCCCACCACCCCAGGTAGCCATCGCTCGGATTGAAAACCCTGAGAAAGCACATTCCAGGCCCCAGGGTTCGTCGTCTGCTCTGGGCCGCTTAGGCGCTATGACAGCTGTGCGGAAGGGCTCTATTTATGCATGAGGAATTTGTTCAACGACAACAGGTGAGCGTGCGGACTTACCGTCGTAGTACTCAATGAGGTCGCTGTCAGTGTCTTCGATAGCTTGTTCTCCTATGGAGGCAAGTGTCTGGGGCTCACTCGTTTCGAAATGATGGAGATCCGCTTTGATTTGACAGAGGCGCTCGAGGCGTTCACTCCTGAGGAAGTCCTCAGGCCGTGGGAAGTCTAGATTGCCAGAGAGACGGTACGTCATTTTGACTATGTACTTGTTGGTACTGGAATGGAAGTGGACGAGGTCACGTTGGAGAAAAGATGCTGTGGTGATGATTTGGTACATCGAGATGAGCTCAATGAATGGGTTGTGAACTTTCAACTCCAAGGGACGAGGAGAAAGTAGCAGGATCTCCGAAGCCTGTTCACTAACACTCGAACGCAGGCGTTACCGCTTTCAAACACTTGATGTAGCTTCAAAGATGGGTTGGGCGTTTCATTTTCCACGGTTGAGTCGAATGTTTACTTCAAGCTCTCGGAGGGGCAGGTGGCTCTTTCCTTCAGGATGAGGTCTGTTGAGGTCCTTCACTGATCGGGTAAGGGCAGGGTTCATAACCTCACTCACAATTACGGAAAACATATCCGCTTTCCGTCTTCAAGAGTACCTAGGTACTTTACCTGTTTAACATGCAGTACCACCGGCCTCTCTCATTGAAATCTTCGTGGGATCCTAGCATACAAAATCATGATGATGATGATTGCACCACTTTGAATCCTCTAACCCATGCAAGATTGGAGTGTTCGAGACTACTGCATCATTTCTGAGACTCTAGCTTTAGATGCAGGTCTCGTGTCGGCATTGATAGCAAGCGTCTACATGTCTCGACTATGCAGCAAAAAGATTTGCATAAATATTTTACCACGTAGTCACTTGTCTCAAAGCCAACATTTGACAGAGCAGACTAGAAGAAGCCATCCATCTCAGCAACAGACCCCGAAAGTTTCATGGGCCTGAGTTTGGTCTTGAGGTCTTGATTGTAGGGATGATAAAAATCCTTCAAATCCCATCAGAAGCCACCATCCACGATACATTGTGAATGCACTCCTCTTTGCTCAATACCGAGTGCAAAGTCTGACAACTAAGTCAACTGCTCATCGCAGAGCTCGAAAATAGACACGAAGCCTTGGTCAAATGTATAAATTCAGCCGTCTGCTTCCAGTACCCCTCCTATTTCTGATGTGCCATAAACGAAGTGACTCGGTAAAAGGCGTGGCATGCATTTCTGCATTTACTGCTTTTGCGTCCTCCGCGATTCACAGCATGTTGTGGATGATGACCATGCTGGACGGTTGGACGTGACGGCCCATATCCTTTTTTGTTGCAGCGTGGCTACCGGTCTCTGTGCTGTGACGAACGAGAGCCGCAAGAGGCTTGACGTGAGAAGAAGAACACAACCACGAGTCCCACTCAAAGTCTGAGCAGCCTTTGTCGATGCCCCTGGGTGGAGGAGTATGCCTGCCACATTCTTATCGACGTGCCATAATCTCAGCGCCGCAAAGCTGCAACTTCGTCTTTCGAATTTGGTTTTCTTGCAATATATGTGGGGTGTGTCGGGTCCTCCGAAAGCACAGGTGGTGGACCATCTCTGAATTTGTTGCTTGTGGCTGATTTGCCGACCCGAGAGACCACCTCGAATCGTACTGTTCGGGATACGAGGATGTCGTTTGGGCTTGGTCTAAAATAACCCATCGGTGAGAATGAATGAATGAGGAGCCTGAAGGGTCTGGAAAGACTGCGGGAATGGCTAATATTGGGGCCAGTGTTATTCACCTTGCTCGTTCATTGTTCTATTATCTGTGTTTGAATGAAGAAAAAAGCTTGGAACTATCTACCGGGTGAATCACTGAACGTCAGTACTGACCAAAGAAATCCACTCCAAGGACACGTGTTATAATTATCCATTGGGGAGAAGAGCATCCCGATTAAAGGTTCGGCTTCAGCAGTTCTAGACGTCTTCGAGTGGTCTAGTAGAGTGCCGAACATATAAGTTGACTGATGTGTTGAAAGCGGATCACGGCAGAGGAACACTCAAGGATGTAATCAAAAAGAGACGGAACATGCAGACCCGTGAAATAGATATGGACGATAGACTTGAGTATGATCGGTTTGACCGCGGGCATATTTCAAGAACGGTGTGCTAAGATACAGATACAAACAGCAGTTGAGCTGACGAAGATCATCGCAGCCTTCAGCGATCTATGATGAAGAGCGCGTAGAAAGAACTGGAGTGACGCTTGCGGTGGGCGAAGGGACCGGCTTGGGTTTGTGTAATGGCTAAGACCGTATACTTGCCGACCCCTCGGAACTAGGGTCTCTAGTAATCACCCTGATACCTCGAAGGTTGGGCGGTGGGAGCACCCGCACGCAAGCATTGCTGCTGGTGACTAGAAGGCTGGTCGCTCGACGGAGTAAGTACCCAAGTCATAAACGAGCCATGGATTGCCTCGGTGCTTCAACAGACGTCTTACCTAGCTTTTATGCTTACAAGGAGTGGCGGAGCAATCGACTGGGTTCCACAAGGTAAATCCAGTAGCAAATGCAGTATATTTACGCCCATCATCATTGGCCAATATCTACCTTACCACGAACCTGGAAGGATTTTTCACAAAAGACTTCTCGCCCAATTTGTTACTTATCCACATGGGTGGCCGCCACTCCAGAAGTAATGTAAACTCCGCCGAGACGGTTTTGTCAAGGTAGTAGTGGTATAAACAGGGATTGTTTACCATCTCCTAGAGGCTTTCTGTTCATGGATTCTGCCAGACTAACGACAACCCAGCTCGACATGACATTGGATAGAGACCAACGAGCATCATAGCATTCATGTAGTAATAAATGAGCGTTTTGGGAAGCGGATGTGGTTGTAGGGCGGGATAGGACATTTGAAAGAGGATCTTGAACTTGGTCGATGAAACGAATCTCCCCTCAGCCGCAGGACCTATCTGAGCTCCACATGTATCATATACTGGAAATGTTTATGATGAGGACTCAAGACTTGTTCCTGTCCAGGTATTGTGCACATAAATAAGTGTGCAGCATTTTTGCTCGGTGGAGGTTGCTATGTCCCAGTAGCGAGCCCCTGAACGTCGACTAGAAAGTGAAGCAGAAATTGAACGCAGCTGCCTGTTGTCGAGGTTAGGATCAGCCTATTCCACGGTGCGCCATGGAGCTATTGATTGATTGGGCCTTGTGGATGTTTGGGGCCTGTAAAGTAATTAGCGCAATGACAAACTAACCAGCCTGTACTGGAACATGGTGATCTTGTGGGTATTGCTTGGCAGTTCGGTCAGAAATACTCGATATTTATTATGCATTTTTCATTAAAAATTGAAACTAAGATTTAGATACAACTTGACACCACAGATAACAAAAACAAAAACAAAAACAAGGTCCTGCCCGGATTCGAACCGGGGTCGTTCGGAACTTCTTTCAATCAGAACCGAAAGTGATGACCGCTAATTGAATGTTAGTCATGAAGTAATGCACGAAGATTTTGGTCATCACTTGCCTACACTAAATCATAGTCAGTAAGAATGTAAGTAGAGAATAGTTCACTTATTCTTACCTACAGAACCGCTTCTAATTTTTGAAATTTCTTAATAACATATATACTATAAACTACAACAAGATAGAAGAAAAAGACTTGAGAACCCTGTCCTCGCTGTAGAGCATTCATAACTGCATAGAACATAATCTCATCTCACTTGCACTTATACTACCGTATAGTTGTCCAGCTTCTGTCTTAGATTTTTATTCTCTCGAGTTTTGGTCCAAGGTATGCTCTGAATGTATATAGATTTTCTTTCTATCCCTACTGAACTACATGCGCGAGAGATACCTCGACTGCTGGTGGTCGTGACAGCTAGAAATGTGCGTGCACCATTGGTGACGCTCGGAAACCTAATCTTGCCTACCTTCTAAAAATGAACCTTTTCGAGAAGAAGCGTTTCGATAGCCCAGCAGCTGTGGCGAACAATCTCATTAAAAGGGTTGCTAAGCGCATGTTTGACGACGTGCGTCATTTCGCACCAAGGCTTCGACCATTTTACGATAACTATCCAACAGTTGTCGTGAAAGATCCTTCGGCAGATAAGGAGCGATAGGTATCAGAGGCTGAGTACTTCAAGCGCTTCACATTGAACTGGTCCTAGTTTTCCTTAGCAAAGATGGTGGCCAGATTTACGCATTACAATCTGAGGGCTGACTTCAAGAAGCCTTTGAACGAATCGAACTTTCAAGTGATTCAAGTAGCCTTTCCCATTCGTGGATATTATGCTAATTAGGAAAAGTGCTTTGGCATGGAGGAACCCTCCGTACCCGAAATTGTTCTCCATGGACTTGTCTCTCCATATGCTCATGGAGAAGTCCTCAGTCACCCCGTCTTGCACCAAAACGAGACCCTCTTTGCTACACTGAACCAGGCCTTCCGAAAAACGCTTGTGCTGGCGGCCGATCAAGAATTGACCACTGCGATGAGAGAGAGCCGGCACGAGGACTGCACCCCAGAGGAGACGGATTATATTTGTCGAGAGCGCGAAAAGTACAAACTGCTGGCTAAACACTAAAATCAAAGGAATCTCTATTTGTAGACGACAAGACCTGAAATAACAGATCTCCCGATTTACTAGCTTAACCGTGTTGTCATTCTAACATCGATTCAATTCCTTCTTGATCTGAAATGACAGAATTTGCAGGCCACTACCCCAAATGCAAACATAACCCATCCCCTTTCAAAGCTTGCGCTTGAAGTAAAATGATAGATTCTGCTGGTTTCTAAGCCGATATTGTTCTTGTTTTTACGCAAATACAGCTTGTGTTTGTTTTTGTATGGTAGATTTCATAGGTTTCTAACCCTTTCATACCGCCCTTCTGAAGCAAATGAAGCTCCTGCTAAAATCGAAATCACTTCTTTAAAGGTAATCAGCCAATACCTCCTGACTATCTTCTTAATCTTGTCCCTTGAATAGTCCGACATCTATCAAGGCCTGAAAGGACCCATTCATGATACATCGTCAATGAGCCACGTACACGGTTGGAACCGTGACAAGCCAGCGAGAAGGACAAGGATCGATGCATATCTAAGGCGGATCACACGGGTCATTGGCGATACATGGTGCATGATGAAACAGCAGTGCGTGGGCGACATGTTGTTATGAACCTTCTCACATGCTCTCGGCGTGGGATCAGGCAAGAGAGGTATGAGGATCGAGACTTGGAGTATTAGCATTTGGGATAGGGTGCTGTTGATAAGGGTAGAGGACACCCCTTGCTGGCGAGGTAGTCAGTCTTCGTGAGTAGTTTAGAAGTTGAATAGAATGGCAGGTCTCAAAGTTCGAGAGAGACAATCGAAGTCCTCGGCCCATCAAGGGCGCGGAAGAATTCCAAGATGGTGGTGTGTAAGATTGATGGATTTTTAGTTGAAAGTCTGAGCTACTTTGGGCTTAGAGGAACCCACCGCAGTCCCAGGGCCACAACTTTGTGTTGCCTGGAACGATTAGTATCAGAAAGCAGGACACCAGAAAGATACTATCACTTCATCAATAGTGGCTTCTAGCTCGACGGAGATGACCCTCGGTAACTGCTCCAATTTTCGATGGAGCATGTTAATGCCTTTTGAAGACATTGCAGCAATGATCTAGGACGATAGACAAAGCCCGCTGTAGCAAGACCACAAGCAAACCTGGGTATATGTGACCATCGCTCATCCATCATCATACAATCGTCCACTCTGTTCGTACTACCTTCGCTGCTGCCCAGGCATAAACCCCTGCCCACCTTGTCCAAAACCGGCTGCATCACCGAAACCTCCGAATGGCATGCCTTCTTGATTGAATGGTGTCGGAAAGCCAGGTGGCGGAGCGCTCATGCCCATGAAGCCAGGAGGCGGCATTCCTCGATTGTTTGACGGCATGCCATATTGGAGTCTGTCATTAGGATTGCCGGGATTCAGACTTGGCGGAAATGCATTTTGACCGCGCGCAGGGGCTTGGAAACCAGGAGGTGGGATCATATTTTGGCGCTGAGATAGAAGATGCTGAGCATAACCGGGAGGCAGTTGCTCAAGCCCTGGAGGCCGCTGTAGGCCTGATGGGAACCCTGATTGCTGTGGAGCTCCTGCAGGAGACTGACGTTGATCGTAGATCCCGGGCGGGGGTCCCCTTCGCTCTACTCCAGAAGTGGGATTCAGCTTGTCCCGGGATTGCATCTCGTCTCCATTGAACCCTGAGGGGAAGCCATTAGAAGGTGTTTGCTGTGGTGGGTCGTGTGGCGATATCATCAGGTTGGAAAATGGTGATAGTCCTGGTGCTGTATCTTGAGCAGGTCGGCGCCCACCAATATTTGCTTGATTGATGTCTTGGCGGTTCTGTTGTGGCTGTTGCATGAGCCTGAGTAAAAATTCGCTGTCTCTAGTTGGTGGCATGGCATTCTCCTGCGAAGATCGTGCCCCGAGAAGACTGTAGAGATCATTACGCTCTCCTGCTCCTCTTGAATGAACAGGAGGCGATGCTGGCACATCTCGCTGACCCTGGACACGAGGGGGTGTGTCAGCATTGCCACCCTGTATTTGCTGCTGGTCAAGGAGTTTCAGAATCCGCTGGAATCCTTCCTTGTCCTCGTTAGACGAGTCTTTAGAAGGTGGGAACAGCGGAAGAGATGGCTGCTCTTTTGGTGGTTCTGGGTCGGCCTTGGGGGCGAAGAAGCCAGTGAACTTTGAGGGCTTCGACACCTTAGCGGCTGTATTCGCTACATTCGGCTTCACTCCATTCACTGCGGTACTGCTCAGGAGCTCTTCACCCTTTTTAGGCTTGTCCCATAACCCAAAGAACCCATCGAAGCTTGGATCAACAATCAGTGGTGTCTCGGCTTTGGCTTTCGCGACACCGGTACCAGCACTTGATACAGTCCGGTCATGGTTTGGCCGTTGCTCCGCTGGTAACAATGGTGTATCCTGCGCAGCACCGTTGCTCGCTTTCATTCGCTCTTTCCATCGCTCAAAGTCCTCTTGGGTCCGCTTCTGCTCCTTGATCTCCGGCTCCGGTTCGTCCATCCACTCAGGGTCCAACTCTACTTTCCCACCTCGATTCCAGTCACGCTCTGCCCCGCGAGCACCTCTCCTCTCCTTGTCCCTCCAATCCCGGGGCTTTGCATTTTCTGCATCTTCAGCGCCACCATCTTGGTTGCGACCTTCCTCTCGATTCCAAGAGGGCTCATTGCGCCCTCTTGCAGGTCCAGTACGCCGCAATGCATGGCCTCCGTCAACATCGGCTTCTGCATCTCGCCTATGGTTCTCAAATCCTCTCTGCCCTCTAAGCTCACGCCCACCCTCTCTATCCCGGTCATACTCCCGATCTCCATTCTTTTGATGCGTACGCTCGTGATCGTCATGGCCTGGATTTCTCTGTTGTCGGACATTGGACCAGAGATCGCTGTCATCCTTGACACTTCGTCGGTTCTGGGTTGCGCCCGATTTCGAGTCACGTTTCTCTCCGTCTCTTTCCACACTCTGTCCATCTTTGGGATATCTGTCTCTGAATGTTGTGCGATCATCCTTGACAGCAGGATCGTCGTGTTTGGCAAAGCTTGACCGTTGTGGGGTGTTTGATATTTTGCTGTTGCTCCTTGCACCGGAGGCAGAAGCAAAAGCTGTTTTGGGAGGTCCAAGGACAATATCTTCGGGAACTGTGATATCATCAAATCAACCTGACTGTACTGGAAAAGTTGTAGAAGCCATACGCACCATTTGTTGATCTGGCTCTTGCCTCAAACAAAGGTCTGCGATTTGTAGGGCCATCCTTGAAGAAACCGTCGTCATTAGTCCCTTTGTTGACCGATTTCCGCTGGTTCTGATTTTGATTCTGGACTTGGCGCGGTTCAGGAATAGGCCTAGGGCACCGGTGAGTCCGCGATTCCAATTTCGCTGTCGCCGCAAGTGCGCTTACCCCATCCATTCCTCCACTGGGGGCAAACCCGAGGGTTTGCGTACCAACGGAGATTCGCGAAGTTTCAGCAGCTCTTCAAGAGCATATGACCGTGACATCGTAGATCTCCTGAAGTATGTGAGTCTTGGTAGGATCTCATCGGCTGCAAACTGGTACAGGGTCGGGTGGGGTTTTAGGGAGGGCCGGTCTGTAACTTAAGTGAATTAGTAAAGTGAGGGGGGGTACTCGCTGCGTCAGAAGCACATAACAGTCAGTACAAATTTAGGCGCGAATCTCAGAGCACCTGCGTACTTATTTTGGTTGAAGGTTCCACAAGGGAAGCTGACAAGGAGATGGGCGTTTGGTGTGTTATTGAGTGGTGCGTGGGGTCAAGAATTGGGCCTTGCGAAACATTGAGGGGCAGGTGGTACTAGACTTTGAGGATATCTAGAATAAATATTTAGAAACCTGACTCAAGGGAGATGGTGTGTTGGGAAGCATTATGGAAAGATGTGTTGGTGGTCATGTGCAAGATACTCGTGAGCTTTGTTGATCGTGAAGGCAGGTGAAGTCTCATAGGGCTGAGTCTTCATTCGCCTCGTTCACTATGGCAAAGAAATTTGACAATTGCGATTTGCAAATCATCATCATTATAGAATTATTAAGGGCTCTTTGTTATTCGTAGACTATCTAGGGTAGACATGAGTGTTCCATTAGTCCAGTCATCAACACGTGCCTGATCACTTGTCTCGTAGGCCCTCGATGCCAAACCTTTCAGTCTTTCACCCGTCATATCGTTGATAGCGTGCGAAGCAAGGCGCGAGAAAATCCAGCTCATTAGACCACAACGAGTGATAAGCGTCGAGCTCCCCTTGACGCACGTGCAGCGAAACAGCAGGTCTAATATTTTCTGGAAGCAAGGCTCTGGCAGCGATGGCGATGCAGAGAACGACAGCAACCGCTCAAATATGTGGCACTTTCGGTATATTTCCATATCCTACCGGCTTGTTAGCTCATTCATCTCATGGTACAGTTTATAAGGCTTACAGCGGACGTGCGAAGCCCGTCAATGAGCCCATCAAGCAACCACTCGGCTTCTTTGTGGTGGTCGTCATCGTCCGTTGGAGGATTCATCAGAACTTTGTCCACCCAGTATGACGGCAGCTTTGTCACGTCCCATTCGGGACCTCTGTTCAAAAAATTGTTGACCTTTGCATACATGAGATGCAAGGGGTCACCAAGCACTAGAAAGAGGTCTGCTGCGAGGACTCCGGCATAATACGCAAGAGAACCGTGAGCAATAACCTTCTCTGCCGTTTCGACGATTTCTCCAACAAGCATATACGTCTGTTGCCACTCACTATATTCCGATACCTGGAGATACGTTAGCGGCGATTGCAGAGTACGTAAATCAACCGACCTTGAGCTTCATCATGAAGGCACGAATACCTATCAGAGCTTGCTTTCGAATCTCCACGTGTTTCGAGCAGAGGCAGAGAATCAATCCTTTAACGTGTCCTTCGCTGATGGCATCCTGGACGTCGTGGCGAGTCCACTGATGCAAACCGGGGTGATCTTCGTGCTCTTCCGGTGGTCCTGGCGGCAAAGTTGACCCAGGTGAATTTGGATGCCGATTCAGAGGGGGA